ATTAATGAGGGAAGATACCGCGGTGAGGAATCTCTCTCTCACGTGAGTTAAAGATAATTAATGTGCTGACAGGATTAACCTTGTTGAGTAATTGCACGAGCGCATCCGCCAATGAGCGTGGCACTTTTTATTTCGAAAAAAGTTTTGCCGAAAACACATTTATCATACAAATTATGATGTTACATTGGTATATTTTCTACAACATTCTAATTATAGATACTGCATATTGAATTTTATATATATAATAATGCATGCATTTGCTATCGCGTATATATTTCCTCACTATTTATAAATTTATTTTTATTATATTAAATTATTTAATGTATCCCAGATTCTTGGCCTTTTTTTTATTTCTTCCTGCTCCAATTCGGAGTAGGCAAAAATCCAGTATCAAATCCGGCGCGTTCTTTCTCTCTCGACTTTCGTAATACCGTAAATTTCATCGACCACCCGCGTGCGCATTTTTATTTATTTTTTTTTGTACGCGACCGCATAACGTGCCTATATGTTTGCCGAGCGATTTTCTGCAACATGGAATTCTGGAACGCGATCGAAACGTACTCCCGGATAAACAATTCCCGGCGTCGAGTTCAGGTTTTGCGTGGGAGTGCATGCGTGCATGCACGTGGTGTAATATTGACCGACCTGCATGTTGCTGCTCGCGCATAAGTAACGCCGCTGCCACGCGCGTGGAGAGAAAGAGCCGCTCGTTTGATTGGCTGAATTTATGGGATCTACTTATCGCGTACTTACCGCGCGTTGTATATCAAATGACACCCGCACCCGCGGGCGCTCTTTTTCGCTCCCCGCGAAACCCGTACAGGCCCTTTTTACGCCTTTCTCTGCTTCACCTTCCGCCGCGCGCGGATTTACTGCGGGTAAATCGCCGATAAATGAAGCCGCGCGCGTTTTAGGAGGCTACGATGTTACGAATATACGACGTATACACATAAATGCGAGACAGATACGAAAATTTACTTCTACTGCGATATTTTCGTTAGAATTTAAATATTTGTAATAATTGCATTCTCTTTTACTGTCATTTTTTCAATCTTAACTCATGCGGTAATTTTTCTTGTCACAAAAAATATTTCTCTAAAATTATATTCGACAGTCATAATGTACTACAAGATACAGTTGTGTCCACCTTCGTTAAGGACTATCTCGAATCCCATCAGGTATACGCGGTATAGTCGTAAGAACAGTCAATAAGACACGACATCCTGAAACATTCGATTGTCTCGTCGATGTCACGCATGAGAGATGCGACGGTTGAAGCACAGCAATAAACAATTTATTAATGAACGGACAATACGAATCCGTCTGAATACGAATGCCGCTGTACGATCGTAACGACAACACGTGTCGCGACAATATCTCCAATGACTCCTGGCGCGCGGGATAATCGCAGGCGCCAGGAAACGACCGTCACGCTTCATGCTCGTGAATCACGGAAACAGGAAAGCCTTCGCCCTCGTGACTCCAATCGAAATCGGTGAGATCCGGAACTCGAGGAGGCGCGGACCCGTAAAAGAACGCGTAATAATGGCGACTGCAACAATAAATTGCTGCACGCGCTTCATAAATCTTGCGAACGTGTCGCATCGGCGCGTGTTTTATTTCGTCCAATCGACAAAGTGTTTCACAGGTCAGCGATAAACTTCGATAAGAGGTTCTTGAAAGTTTTAAATAATTTTTACACTTTTCGATATTATGACGATATTAAATCGAATTTAAATCAAATCGCGATTTAAGGGATATTCTGTAAGAAATTTTTGTTTTGAATAACGTCTTATATTTTGTGAATATTACGTCAGAACTCCCTTTTAATTCAAGTCATTAGATATTAAGTTCAAGATAGAGATTTTGTATTTTGTCGCGAGAGAATCCGACTGGTCGGTGCACGTCAAAGGTTGTAATCTAATATTTTTGAATAGAACTGAAAGAAGACACCACTCTTCACCGGGTGGTTGTCGGCGATAAATTCCGGGGGCTCTACTGGAAACGTTGGATCAAACAATGGAAACATGAGACTACGGACAGGTTCGATTGTTTCAGACACGTTGTTTTAATGCGAGGTGGCATAGGCCTCTGTTGAGCGGTGGCGCAGGAAAGAAACGCTATGAATGCCAAAAAGGTATAGATTGTCAAAGGAATATTAAATTATGCCTGTATCTCTCATCCTTTTTACATACATCCAAGCGAATATCAAATTCTTAAGAAGTTTTGATCGTATCCGATTTCTTTAAATAATGCACTGAATATTATACCGAATATAATAAAACTTTGCATCTATATCATTCAAATTTTGAATATATATGCATTTACGGCGAAATTTGGCAAATCGGATGAATGAGACGATTTTTTTGTGCGGGCGTTGGCGGAATATATCGTATATAAAGATCATTTGTTTGCAGTATTTCGTTCGTATTTTCGACCTACGGTTTCGATGCGAACGTAGGACGATGGGCGGAGGAGTTTAAGAAAGCGCCGGTTACGTCCAGACCATTTTCTGCACGAAATGCTTGAACATTAATCACGCGACCGAATTTCGTGCAAAATTTTACGGCACTCCTTATTTGTAAAAGTTCCCGATGGTGGTCTTAAAATGTTCTCATTTTATATGGGATCTACTCAGCAGGTATTTAATCGGATTGGAGCAACACCAATTAAAAAGTCGAACCAGTCCGTTTTTATAAATGCGTCGATGATTAATCTTTTGCATTTGAAAGTCATTTATCGCGATTTTATACGAAATTATACAATATATATAAAGATTTTTAGGTCCGAGTTGTAGTAGATTTTAAAATTGTCAGCTGGTGGAAAGATATTAAAGATTTAAAATTCTTTTAAAGTAGTCAAGCTTTATACCCCTATATTATCGTATATATTGCGCACATTTCATTCACGTCGGATAAATTTTCTGTCTTTTGGGGTGGAAACGAAGGTCTCTCGGATGGCAAAAGAAGCGTCGAGACTCCATTAATTTAACGGTTTAAAAGGCCATTGGGAGTGATTTTTATACCGCGAGACCGACGCCTGCAGGGTTGTCCAAAATATGCAATTTCCGAAAATATCCCTCTACACGGAACACGGAAATTACAGGGTGGGAAAGTCCCTAGAACGGTCCGGAGGGCTCCTTGCGGATGGGTCGTTGCGGACATTTCCGAAAATCGTCCCCGTGACGCCATCGTAAGTGGCAGCTGTCTGCTCGAAATTCCCCGACGACGATAACCTCTTTTCCTACAAGCATTTTCGTAGTCCGTCAGAGAATCTGATTTGGTCCACTCAAAATATAATCACGTGGCATTAACGAATAATCGCTGGTTCTGGAGACTAATTTGAAATTATAGTCATCGTACGACGTTCTCGTGCCGTTTTTTGGATTTCTTCCCCGGAGGCCGTCGTCTCGCATAGATAATTAGTCGGCAAACTAGAAGCTAATGAAGCAATCTTAAATGAAGTCCAAATTTTCTATGAAAATTAGCGGTTGAAGTTAATTCTGGTTAGATGCAATCCAGCTATATTTATTCCTTCATTCGAACAAAACAAAGTTGTCCATTAGCAGTTCTCGCTATCGCTTTCATAAATTATAAGTGAACGAGCATAGAAATGGACGTCAAGTCGGTACGATGTTGGAATATTATTATAGGTCTAAACAAATTCCGCGTCATTCTTCCATCATTTTCAAACGATCCTTCCGCTGCGACTAGTCACATCCGTTGACGATGCAGTCGCTGAGGCGCCAAAAATGTCATTTTTACGCTAATCAGTGAATGCACAGAGACTTCTCATCTTCGCGTGGTTGGAAGATTGAAGTCTGGCTGCCATATTAATATGCCAGACGAACCCTAAAGATATTTATCTCTTGAAATGTACGCGTTTATGTTTGTAGCTTTTGCAATCGAGAAAATTTTCAAGATACCACAGTTTATACGATATTTTTGCGAAAATTCATTATTACGGTATTATTTTCAAATTTAACAATGCTTTCAGCTGCTTGAAATAATATAAATCAATTGAGATTGTGTTATTTTTATTAATGCAAATTAAATTACTGGAAAGAGGAAAAAGCTATTTTCACAAAGCCTTTAAATAACGGCATAGTTACGCAACCTGACATTACTAAAAAATGGAGAAAGATTTTCCAAGTTTGCACCTTGCGATAATTACGGTGGTCGGAAAGGAAAGGTACTTTAACTGACGGAGAAAACGTCGTGACTCCACGAAGGAGGTCCCTCTGGCCTATAATTTCATGTAATTACGCAGTTTGTGCACCTCCCATTCGACAGTCTTTCAGAATAGTCACGGTTTGTCTCAAACGGAGTATAACATTTTATGGTGTTTTCGGAAAGTCTCAACCATGACGTTACCCGAAATCTTCGAATGAACGGCGAATGATTATATATAAGCCGATAGTAACACGAGGGATATACTTGTGTGGGCACAGTAGGTTAATTGATACTTTTACTTTAAATACAATAATTTTAGCTGTATAAATCAATGTCCACAAACGTATATTATACAGCTGTTGGCTTGACATTTGTATTATATTAGAAATTTATTATCCTTAAAATCGGGAAAATTGTAACTAGTGTTTAATGTTAAATGAACGATTTTCGGAATTTCCCTTTAATTAAACGTGTATCTAGGATACAGCTGCTATTTTAGTCACTAAAAAAATAAATAGTGTGTGTAAAGTTGGGGCGTCTCATTTCGTGGAAACTCACAGATAATTTTGGCTTTATTTTTAAAAGTTCTAGCGTTCTTGATAGTTTAAACAAATAGTTTTTGATCATTAAAGCAACAAAAATGTCTTAGGACAAATGTCTAAGACGTCATAATTTCACGCAGCGTCTCACGGTATTTTTCTTATCAATATATAATTATCAGGATTTAAAAAAATGTATACATAACTTCTAACAAAAGAAGATTTCTGATTTTTAAAAGCAAAAAATATTAAAAAATATTAATATATGTATGTATTTTATTTGTTACAGGTAGCGTTGCGGTTTACACGTCGTGTCGGGAGTGCCGTATAAAATGTGTCGGGCGATCGTAATTATTCATGTTTTCACGAGTGTCGTGAGTGCTACGAATGACCAAGAGAGGAGGAGGAGGTCCGGGGAGGCATCGGGCAACAACGGGACAACTGCGAGGTATGCAAAATAAAAATTTAAAAAATATACATATACATATGTATATATACACACATGTATATACATAATTTGAATTATTTTGTTTTCAGATCAATGTGCTGTCTACTGCAGCTTCACGATTGTCAGCATCGGTGAGTGAGAAACTGTTCACTTTATAAAACATAATTTCTGTAGCGGTAAATAGAAAGAGATTACTAAAATATTAAGCTTTTATTAAAGTTCAGAAAATTTTTCTTAATTTAGTATCGAATTATTACTTATAATACGTAATATTATATCGATCTCAGTACCGCAGCACGAAATTAGAATATATCGAGCGTATTTTTATTTCGAAGAGATTATACACTTAAAGTGTGTCGTAATTTCACCGTCGGAACAGTAAATTATGCGATTTGTGCGATCCAGAATATCACTTTCACGACGGTATCGTGTCGCGAGACAACAAACTGGTCCAGATAAGCGAAATCTCATGGTTTTATCGGAGCGGAGGCGGAGACGATCATCGATGATCGAGGTATCGATTCGAGGGTAAGCGCGTTGCGTGCCACACATGATTTCCGAGAATTCTTGGAATACCTATTTATAATATAAACTTTTATATGGTATTATGAAAATGAGTGTGCGGATCGATGCCTCATTAGCGGCGCTAATAGGAATCCCTTCGTGACCATCTTGTCCCTACAAGCCTAAAATTATCGTTAAATTCACGGTTATTCTACGAAAATCATTCTACAAGGAAGGTCACTATCGATAATTTTGATAATTATGCTCTTTTATCGGAAATTACGGTAAAATGTTTATTGAACGAATTTCTACAAGTTTCTAGATCAGAAAAGTGTTAGCGAAAGATTGCATAACGATTATTATTGAGCGCGGAAGAATTTTTGGATCATGTCTTAAGAAAATGTGATTAGTTAAATTCGAAAGCGCACCTGTATTGCAGCTAACCGTCAGACACACCTGTCCGTAAATTGCCATCTACAAAATCGGCCGTGAGGCCCCGCGGATGTCTTTAAAATTAGTATACGTAACGAAATGCTCCGTTATTATCGACACTAGAGTTACTTTTTAATTAAGTACTTACAAATCGTTAGATAAAGATCTGCGATTTACAATATGAGACAGAGAGAGATATTAAGACATAAAATATTCCTTCAAGCTTATTTGCATTCCGTAATAATTATAAATCCAGTAAAAATTATATAACCAATTTAGAAGGGAATATGTCGAAAATAATTTCGCGAAGATCGATATTACGTTGATAAAACCATGAGCGAAAAAACTGTTGTGTCAACAGGTATGTATATGTGTATAGCTCGATGGGCGTGACTTCTCGTAAAAAGCGAATTATAAAATATGCACGCTGCAGAAACAGACACCCCTAATTCAGGCATTAGGTGTCCAATTAAACGAATTCGCTGATCGTGTGAGTGGCAAAGTCCTGGTAAAAAAGAGGAGAAAAAATTACCGGCAGGTGAGGCAACGTATCAACGATTGAAAAAACGGATGCTGAGCAGGGACTCTCCCGTCCCTTGAAGAGGGTCTTTCCCTGTGACACGTGTGCCGTGACATGGAAATTTTTACGGTGTCACCCTTTCGATTCTCGAAGCTCGAGCGTGTATAGCCGGCGCGTCGTAAAAGCATCTCGTTGCGATTTACATATCCAGATTCGGTTCGGTTCTCGTAATCGCGCGTGCTATTTTGCGGTTTGATGGGGCGCCTCTAGGTATTAATGCGCACCCATGAATTGCACATCGCGTCATTTCTGCGTAAATTTATATACCCGTATTCTATACGCGCGTATTAATTTTATTTGTATCTAACGGTTGAGGCGGGGCAAGTTGTGGAAGAATTTCGTCACAAAATTATTATAATCGTAATACGGGATTATGTAATACGAGATATATTTCGAATTCGGTTATTTTTTATGACATCTCATCGTGACTTGTGATATACGCAGTCATTTGGTCGACGAAGAATGATCGCATTACAAGTATCTTTTTTTGCGATTTGTCAGTTGTTTTATATCTATTATCTTAAATAATCCTCTAATCGTTGAAAATATCAGAACAATATTAGATAACGTAATACATGTACAATGTGTTACAGCGCAATATAACAGAATAGAATGTAACATATTAGATTAGAATGGCATCGGGCATGACTTAAGCTCACCTTAGGGAGGATTACCTATGATCGATCTTCTTATAGGACGGGAAGAATTGCGTAGTCGTTCGTCGAAATCTTATTCTATTCCTTGTGAATTTGAGCGTTTTATCAACGCGATCCGATCGCGTTTAATACTGCGATTGATCGATCGGGTACGATACGGTCCTCATTAATTTGGTATGATGGGGTAGGTATTTAACGCCCTGTCTATCTATAATCCGATCTGCATATAATATTTAGTTAGTCATTAATATACGATATATCATCGCCAGGGATTATCGAGCCTTTGGTTGTCGCACCTATATCGGTTATTTGAATAACAATATTCCGGCATTAGACGGGTCACCATTCTGTTGCATCTAACGAGCGCTTATGCAAATCTGACTTCATTCTAGCAAGTCACAATATTGAGAGGGTTTAACGATTCATTTAACCTGACTTACGCGATCTATGAAAAATATAATCATCGAGGGATCGAAAAGAAAGGTAGACGGTTTTTGATCGCGCGCTGACAGAATTATTTTTTGCGAATATAACGAACATGTTACGTGAAATTGTCGTCAAAGAAATAGTCAATATCAGAAAAAGATTGCCGTTAAATATTTAAAAAAATTTTTTTCCGACAATTCTATGTCGAATATAATATATATTTCGCTAACTACGAATAGAAAGTAGCTTTATTCTAATTCTACGCATATAAGGTGCTCGATATTATTATGCTTTCAGCGCCTCTAAAAGCTCGCTTTGAGTGCAACTGTATTGTAAAGAGAAAATTATAGACTAGATTGTTGTTACTACTTTGAGATTGTGACTATCAAGCGAGCGTTTTTTAGCTAACGACGCATTGTGCGAGGATACTGTCGGCGTGTTATATAAACCAGTATTCTATTCTACTATTCTCGATATAAATATCGCCATAAATACTCTACCGGCTCGCGGAATTAGATTGGACCTAGCTAGCGGTTTCGATCGAAATGTAAATTCGTGATATGAGACACATAGAGAGAAAGAGAGACCGGCATCTGTCTTCTCGGTATTTTGCCTGCGGGTGGCTCCTGTTGGCGTATCTTCTTTTATCGTACTACTTCCCCCTCCTTTGTATCGCTAGTAAAATAATCCAGAAATCGAGCTCTATTAGCATCAGAGACGGCGTATATCGGCAGTGTTCTAAAAAAAAGCGGTCCGGTCTCCTAGAACAGTCATGGGATAGCTGCATCGAAATCAGTTCCTTGTACGCGGGGACATGGAAGGTCTTCGGGGTCTTGAGAGAATGCGGACGACCGCGAAATCGCATATAAATTAAGGTTTCAACATTTTCGATCCGGCCTTTTGTTGGATTCGCCGCATGTCCTGGAGGAATCGTTTTACTTCACGAAACAAAAAAGAGGAGAGCGCGGGTTCCACTTTCGAAATCGTACGCGAGTCGCGTCGTACTTTTGAATTTTTTTTTCGCAGAAAAAAGTACTTCTTAAAACATTAGTCTTCTTTTAAAAGGAGAGTAAGATGGCACGATGAAATCTGCATAGTAGATTTGATTTAATACTGTGCGTCGATACGATTTCTTATTTCTCAAGCGATATATATCGGTCATCATATCTTGATGAGTTTACGAGAAGCTAAATAAAACGTAACGTACGCGAGAGAACTTGATTTGCAGATCTAACGCGGTTTTTATTCGTCTTGTAATAACGCGATGTTGTTCGACGATGATCGATGCGGACGATAAATCTGTGATTATTCTTTGCCCGGCGTGTGTCAGCATACCCGACATACTTCGCGTCACGATTGGATCGCGTCGTACGAGGCTATTGACCCGAATATCTTACGATTACTTTTCGAACTGCATTGAGAAGGCGGGTGTAACCCTGTGTACTTGGCTCGAGGTACCTAGGATCAGCTGAGTCATAACAGGTGAACACGCTCTTGTCTACGATCGCATCGCGCAACGAATAAGTAAGCGCATAAGCCGCGTTGAAATTGTCACAGTCACTTATATCGGGATATAATTTCTTTCGAATCTTATAGGATTTAGGTGACTATAATTTCTCGAGCCTCTTAATGAGCTTAGACCATGTGTAAGATTCCGAACGATTAATTCCTTGTTGGTGGACGATAAACTTATAATGTTTTTAACAATCGAGAACTCTTTTAAGATTATGTCACAAGTGATTTATTTTTTACGAAATTTAGAAAGAAAAATCATACATATATCGAAGTAGTAAATACAATAGAAAATATAGGCATCGGGATACTTTTAAATCTTATAGGATGTAGGGGACTATAATTTCTCGAGTTTCTTAATGAGCTTAGACCGTGTGTAAGATTCCGAACGATTAATTCCTTGTTGGTGACGATAAACTTATAATGTTTCTAACCATCGAGAACTCTTTTAAGATTATGTCGCAAGTGATTTATTTTTTACGAAATTTAGAAAGAAAGGTCGCATGTACATATATCGAAGTAGTAAATAGAAAATATAGCCGACGTTCAAAAAATTGTATTGCACTGGACACCCGGTAGACACGCTAAAAGGTCTGCTCTTCCTCGAATCGCCACGTTACACATTGTGCTCGTGACTTGTCGATGCAGCGTGCATGACTAGCAACGAGCTCCTCGTAATGCAGGTTAATCGATTCACCGACCCGTGTAAAACGCCAGCCAGGATAAGTACGATGCAGTAGAGATGCAAAGAAATGCATTCGGTGGACGCATTCTTATGTAACTGCTTATCGCTCGCTTCTGCGTCTACTTTCCGTTTTTAGCGTGATATAGAATGAGGCGACTCGAGCTCTCCTCGATGCATAATTTATTTCTAAATTAAATTGCGATTTGATTTTCCTGCAGTATTTTTGAAAATCTATGAGATAAAAAAATTTTAAAAATTGTAATTAAAAAACTATTTTTTTTAATACAAGCAGTTTTTATTGTATTCTGCTTCTTTTTGTGATGCTTTCATTCGTAT